TCCAACCTTGGCAACTTTAAGACTTGTGGACTTCAACTCCCAGAGTTCCTCAGCCAGCTTTGCTGGCTGAGGAATTCTGGGAGTTGAAGTCCACATGTCTTAAAGTTGCTAAGGTTGGAGACCCCTGATCTAATAAAGGCCTTCTTGGGGGAAAAGCAATCTGAGTAGTTAAGTCAACTCAATTGTCATGAAAAATATAAAGTCCTTGCCCTAAATTCTGAAGATCTGGAACAGAAGACTTCTGTCTCTTTCAGAGGCCAGCAAGATACGAATAGCCCTAGGATTCTATGTCATGGTGGCCCATTTACCAGAAAAACTGACCTGTGCTTTCTCTTCAGTTCCAATGCTATCCAAAAGAGGGCACAAGGTGAAGATGCTTGAGACGGGGATATTAATTGCGTTATTATTCTGGCCCTGGAGAACAAACACTTTAATGGATGAGCCAGGAGGCTGAAATTCAGACTTCCTGCCCTCCAGCGGCTGACATCCTAGACAAGTGAGGGATATTTACACAAGCTACATGACGCAATTCAGTTCTTCACTGTTTTCTCCTCCTGGGACTTGTCATTGGTTCTTAGGGTTTTCATGACTGCTCCCTTTCAACTCCCAATAGCAGGCTAAGCTAGAAGACAGTAGGGCAGTCTTAAATCTGTCTAAGACCGTTGAGGAGAGGTGACAAAGGATGTGTGTGTATTCCATTAAGACAAAGTGGTGCTAAGATTGGATCTCTGCTTCATGCCCCTGGTCAGTTCAAGATTCCACCAAATAGGGGAGATTGTATGTTCACATATCTGCCAGAATGAACCAGGAACAAGTTAGATGTCTGCAAGGTCCAAAGAAAATCCTTTAACTCAAGCAAGACCAGAGGGTTGATAGTGTATCTAGAGTAGGACACCTGAAGAGATGAATTGTACGATTCGCCATCAGCAGGAAGACCAGGGAACATTCTTGTTCAGTCATCCAGCCAGATGACTGGACAATTCCTCCATGGGCAACAGAATGTTTGGTGGTGGCTGGGTTGACTACATCAATAGGCATGACATTTGGAGTCCCATTAATGGTCCTTTGTAGAGCAATCACCTGGACAGAGCTATTCATGTTCATAGACATATTTGTCTCCAAAAACACAATCTTTGAACACATGGTGCCATTGTCTATGGACGTTCTCAGTCATCCAGGTCATAGTTATCGCCTAGGTTCTTTTTCAAAAGGCAAGTATCCTTTGTTTTTTTCTAATAAAGTCCTGGACTTTGTTAGGAAAAACAAAATCCTTAGGAAAGGACTAAGTCCTAAAAACAAAGTCCTAAGGAACAAAGTTCTTAGGAAAGACAACATCCAGTTGCCCTTTGAAAAAACATCTTTGGGACATGGTGCCATTTACGGACCCTACCTAGGAAGTCTAACCTAGTTTATACCTTTCTTATCAGCTAACTTTTCAGTGACCAAGAATGGTGGTAGAACTACTGCACAGCAATAGGAGGCCTTCCATGAATCTTTCATGAGAACAGTTGGATGTGTTATAGTTGCGATGTTGTATCTAAAGCAAAGAGAATTTGCAAACTTGAGAAAGGAAGGGAATTTGGATTTAACTTTTACAATCTTTGAAAGAAAGAATTAAAGGCTTCCTTGTTTCACATTCACAACAACCTGTGTGGTGGAAAGGGCTGCTTCTTTCCGCTTCTTCTGCTTTTGGCTGCACGCAAGGAAAGCAGCAAAAGTCTTTCTTTCTCTCCCCCAAACACTGGCAGAAATCAATCTTTGGGACCCTGCAAGGCATCCTGCTCCAAGAGGCTGCACCGGCACGACAAGTCTCACAAAGACTCATTTCTGGCGGAGTTTGGGGGAGAGAAAGAAAGACTTCTGCTGCTTCTGCTGCTTTCCTTGCACAAAGCCAAAAGTCTCTCCCCCTGAGAACGGAGCTGGAAACTGTATCCTACAATCCCAAGTAAAGAATGATTGATCGGTAGGAAAACAGGGTGGGGAATTTTCCTGCAGACTTTTTGGGGGATTTTCCCACGGGATTTAAAATTATGAGTTTGGTGGTCCCTGAGGTCCAAAAGGTTGGCGACCCCTGTTTTAGATCAATTTGTATCTGATGGGTGCCCGAAAAATAACTATGATTTCGTGGTTGCATTTTCTTTCTGATGATCTTTCTCTCTTTTTGGTCTTTGGTCTCTTCCAGATCCATTACGCGAGCATACTATAGAAATTCCGTCGGTGGCCTGCTCCTCTTTGACATTACCAACCGCAGGTCCTTCCAGAACGTCCACGAGTGGCTGGAGGAGACCAAGGCCCACGTCCAGCCTTATCAGATTGTCTTTGTTTTAGTGGGCCACAAATGCGACCTGGACACGCAGAGGCAAGTCACCCGACACGAGGCCGAGAAACTGGCTCTCGCCTACGACATGAAGTACATTGAGACCTCAGCACGGGATGCCATTAACGTGGAGAAGGCCTTCACTGACCTGACTCGAGACATCTACGAACTTGTGAAACGGGGGGAGATCAGCATCCAGGAGGGCTGGGAAGGGGTCAAGAGCGGCTTTGTGCCCAACGTCGTGCATTCTTCGGAAGAAGTGGTGAAGTCAGATCGGAGGTGCCTGTGCTAACTGGGAAGTTCCCGTGAGGAGGAAGGTGGCTGACTCTCGAGTCGCCCCAACGGGTTCCATTCTACTCCACAGACTTGGTGGGAAGGCAGAGAAGGTGTGATTCGGGAGGCAAAGCACCAAGTGCTTGGACTGCTGGCGGACAAAAGCCCACAAGGAGGCTGTAACCCCACCCTGTACGAATCAATCCAGATGCATGTTAATGTGGTAGAGATAAGGCCATGGGAGTCTGGAAAAACGGGGTAGGGATAGTCACCATCAAGGGGTTTTATGTACCCTGGTTTAAATAGATTCATCTATCATTGCTTTTTTACTTTTCTTTTTCTTTCTTTTCTTTCTTTCTTTTTGAAGCCATCGTCCAAATCGCCTACAATTAGGAAGCGTATTTAGAAAAGGAACAAGGGAAAGAGAAATTATATCTTCTCCAGAAATCGTATGCTTGTTACCTTTTAATAATCACCATGGCTGAAATAATAATAATAATATTTTTTTTAAAAAAAGGCTTGCTGCAATATAAATTAAAGTTAAAACATTGCAGAAGCCGCTAAAGTAACAGCGAGACCATTACTTTATTAGGAGTTCTAATTTTGATGTCTCAATAGTTTCTGGGAATTTGATAGCTCAGGTTCTCACCAATTGAATTGGTAGGGTCAATATTGATTGGTTCTTTATGAGATGCATAGCCACATTCCTTCAAAAGCCTAAGGGCACATTGTGGTCCCCCCCCCTTTATTTTTCTCCAGAAAAACCCCACAGCAAGACCTTGATCACCCCATGATCACCTCCTTAAATCACCCTGATGTAAGTCCAGTTCGTTACCCACTACATCCCTTAATGAAATGTTGGAGGTTGCTTGGGCCACCTAGAAAGTTAACAGCCTTATAAGGGATAGGAAGAGTGGGGCTGATGTGTGTATGTGAAAGAATTTTAATCAAGGAGGTTCTATTTTTCTTCTGGAAAAAAGCCAACTTTGATTAAAACTGAAGTAGCACTGAAACCATGCTTCCTGCTTGTTGCACGTGGCATTTCCTGCAAGTCCCAGCTGAGAAGAAAGAGGATGCAAGGTAAGATAGACAAGAGAGAAGAGATGCAAAGCAATCATTGTTTTTGCAGGTCGGTTAACTTGCAAGTGTTGTAGTTTTAAAGGCCTTTCTTTCCCTTCTGAACATATGATCAATCATTTAGGCATTGCTTTAAGAAAGCAAGCTAGATTAGTTAAGCAAGGGCACTCGTGACACACAACCTGGAATTCTTAGAGGAAAAATCAATGTTTTCAAAATAAAAAGTGATCCGCTTGGTTGCCAAGAGATGAATTGTGAGCAGAGGGAAGAAATCGGCGACTTGCAAGTGACATATGTCGTTTGGGAGATGCTGAATGATGGGAAACTGTTTTTAAAGCCAAGATGAATCTCTGCATTTTCAGCACCAGCTTTTTTTTTTTTTTTTGTTAATTTTTTGCCTGGAGGGGGGGGTTTTTTTTTTTTTTTTTTTTATGGCCACCTGAGAATCTGCAGAATGGAAGGAAAGCGGGGGTTGGATTCCTTGAGAGCATTGTAAACATTTCTGAAAAACATTTAGGAAGAAGCCAATGTTAAAAGAAACAATATTAATTGGAGTCTTGCTTTCTTTTAACAAAATAATTTGCTTTGAGGCAGAAAAGGGCTATACTGTTTTTAAAGACCTATATACACCCAGGGTGTTTTCTTTTTTGGAGGTGATGGTAATAATGTAATAATCAGCAGAAGACACAAGTAAACATACATCTCATTTGTTAAGGCCATTGGGCAACATTTTTATAGTACTACAATAGAATAAGGGAGGAAGCCCATATATACTCAAGACAATTTTTTTTATCAGTAAGTCAGATTTAGACTAATTTCAAGAATGTTACTAGTGTTGAACCCAGGAGTAAAATAGATTGTAGGATTGGTTATATTTTGCATGCTCTGGCTCAAATTGTAGCTTTATATAAGGAATAAAGATAGAAAGGCAAACTCTTCTGCCTATTAACTAGTTAAAGACGTTTTAGTCAATCATCTGAATATCTGCTGAACAATTACTTAAACCTGCATACAGGGGAGGGGGGAACATTTCTATGAAACAAAGAGGTTGGGTTCTTTTTAGATAGTTATCTGTGTGGGTGTGACAAACAGACATTACTATTGTAGAAAAATTCCAGCTTCTCACATAAAGGATTGCTGCTTATGATCTGGTATGTGCTTGCATTTAATATGCTTTTTTTTTAAAGGTCTATTTCCCCAGGAAGGGAGGGGTTATCAGTTTATGTCAATTAATCAAATTGTTTTTTTAGAGTCAATCTATCCAGCTGACAAAATGTTAGAGCACCTTTAAAAAAATAGCCTTTTTCAGAAAGCAGAATAAAGGTTGGGAGGAAGTGATGATAAATCCATGTAATACTTTTGATGAGTGTCAGTACATTCGTTTGAACTTTTGTTTCATTCTGAGATTCTTCTAGTTTCCTGTTTCTGCATGATTTAGATAATCTTCAGATTATCTGTGACTTCAGATAATTTCTGTGATCAAATTAAGGCAATAGTTAAACTACTTTTTAAATGCCTGTTTACCAAGTGTTGAAAGATATGCTTAAGTATCTTAGGTTACAGTTGCTTGTAGATTTCATCTGGACTTGCAATAGTTGATTCATTAAAGCAAAATAATTAATTCAGAAGTGATTTTATAAATATGAACTTTATACAGTATACTCTTCCATGTGCTGTTCAATTCTCTAGAGAATATTTCATATACATGTACATTGTGCGTATGCGCACCTACAGTTTAAAAATTGGGCTATTATGGAACCATGTACATTAATGGGAGATCAAGACAGAGAAGAGCAACGAAGATGGTTAGGGAATTGGGAGGCTAAACCATACAAAGAATGATTGCAGGAATTGAGTGTGTTTAGTTTAATGAAAAAAAGAACTGGGGTGACATAGCAGTGTAATTTTGAATACTTTAGGGATTGCTACAAAGGGCAGGGGGTGTCAACCTATTCTCCAAAAGCAGGACAAGAATAGAAACCAATCAAGAGAAGCAGCCTAGAACTAAGGAGGAATTTCCTGATAGTGAGATCAATTAATGAGTGCAAAGGCTTGCCTCCAAAATTCGTGGATACTCCAAAACTGGAAGTTTTTAAGAAGAGATTGGACAACCATTTGTCTAAAATTATATAGGGTTTCCTGCTTGAGCAGGGGGTTGGACTAGAAGACCTCCAAGGTCCCTTCCAACTCTGTTATTCTGTGATATATTTTTTCAGTGACGCAACTCATTTCCTCTGGATTTCAGGATGCATTCAGGCCCAGTTTGGTGGTATTCTTACAGCACCCTAACCTTTGGTCGTTTTAAACTTGGTTAAGTACTTTTGGTGGCTCAGCATTTTATAGGAATCCAGCCAATGGCACTTACCTGATGTTAAGACAAAATTGAACATGTGCAAATCCAAGTTGGTCTAATCTGAAGTCCAAAATCAAGAACGTCTCAATCAGCATTTACTGGATGGGTTATGGAGTGAACGGAGGTCTTTCTACATGTATAGTTAAATTGTGAACTCTCACCAACCCCAGGGAGTTTTTGATTCCAAACCTAACATTATCCATAGTTGACTTTATACATATATATATCTCAGTGTTGTGTCCAAATGGACTCAAGTATGATCCTCCTTGGGGTTTTTTTTTTTTTTACTGTCTCGGGAACACTGCATCTCTCCTAGGGATATGGCAGGTGACAGGGAACTGTTTTTCCTTGATTAGAAATTTCCCTAGAACTGTCAAATTTACTGGGCAAAAGCATTTTTTATACACTTTCAGTAAATTTTCCAAGTAATCATACGATCAAACAGGAAAAAGGAGGGATCTAGAAGATCATGTAGGAAGATCTAATGGCCTTTTGGGCCATGTGCTAAGATTATTTATGTGATTAATTTTTCTTACTACCATTTTAAAAAAAGGATTTGTAGTATTATGTATAATTAGGATGACAAAGACACACAGAATATATTTAAATGAAATGGAAGGTCTAATACTTCTGATAAAAACCCGTTAGTCTTTTTATAATAATTTACATTTGTAACCCCTCTGTACTATTGTGTACCAAGGGTGTGACAGGAAAAAAAAGTATTCCTGTCCTTTAAAAAAAAAGGGACTTGACATTGTAAACCTGATTTTCTGAACCGATTTGACTAGATTTCTGACTAGTGCAAGAGAAAGGACTAAACAAGGCTGTAGGAAGCTCCGTTTTCTATCTGATAGTTTCAAGTTCACAATCTTAGTCTGCATGCTGGATTTAAAGAAAAATCCAGACCCTCCAGATGTAGAATTATATTGTACATTTTTGCTAGCTTTCTGTTATATGACTGTAATGAAATGTGATGCAATATGTTGTATTCAGCTGTGTGTGAATGAAAATTATGCTCGCGCTTAGCAAAGCAGTTAATGTGAACATGTGACATGCAATACATGTAAAGATTTTTTATTTTCCGCCATTTTTCATGAAACCTTGAATAACTGTATACATGAACTGTGGTGGGGAGAAAAACCCCTTCCCCCACAGATTAGGTTAAAAATAAAACACACCCACTGTTTGCCATGAAATCCAGTGGTTTTTTGTTTTTACTTGTCCCTTTGTTTGAAATATTTTAAAAGCGTGTCATTAAGCACAACCGGGATGAAAAGATTCTAAGCAACATAAATGGGATCATATTCCAATCGGATGACTACCACGATAACCCCTTGAGCTATTGTCTTATTGGTATCATGCATTGCAGATTAACAGCCCCTTTCTGAGGGGGACAGGACAGGAAAGATGGAAAAATATGCAGAACTGCTCTAGTAGAATAATAGATTGAGACTTAATTCCCAGAATTTTGCTTTAATAGCTGCCTATATCCAGGTCATTTCAGTCTTGAGTCTATTCTTATTGGGAAAAAGGACCAAAAGACTTCATAGTATACAGGTACTGATTTCATCATGGTGCAGAAGCCAATATTGATTTTAAATATTTTTGAAGTATTATACAGTTATTTTTAATAGTAATAATAAACACTGGTTTTAAGGAAGTGTTGATAATTTTAATCAAATTATATATCCACTTTGGGAGTACTGCAAATAAATCTTTGTATTTTTTTATTTAACAAAGCAACTGGAAAGTTGCATGTTTATGCAACAAAATAGATTTTTGGCAATATAAGTATGTTAATGTCTGAGTTTTTCATAATCAGGAGGATTGCTTCTTTTGTTTCTACTGAAACTGAACTAAACAAAATATCCTTCTTTTGGTTTCTTTTTTGGTAAAACACAATTACTTTGGAACCTTGAGGATGTAACATCTTGAGGCGCCATTCTTGAATATACCTGTATGTTATTTACTTAACCTGTCTTTATTTTTTCTCAAGTATATGCCTAATGCAACTGTTTTGTCCTATTTCTGCACTATTTTAACAAGAAACATTTTGGAAATGTTAGCACATTTTAAGTTTCACTATTTTAATATAAATGAAATAATAGTACAAAACTTTACAGACATTGTTTATTAAATGAAACTAGAAGCCAGTTAACATTTGCACTGAATGGTAAAATGAAACCTGAGCAGTTACGATAGTTACACTGCTAATTTGGCCATCAGGTGTGCTTCAAAGAAAAGATGTCAAGGCAACATTTTTGCAAGGCTTCCTTAATAAGTAACATGGGAATAACATTCAACCTGACAACACGGCTGAGCTGCAATACACCATTTATTTTCCAGAAGTTGCAGCAAGTATCCTTGCAGGTGTTGAGACATCTGGACCAAATGGGAGGAATGCCTAGCATGCCAATAAAATGCAGCAAAGTATTAAAAATTTTGGCTGCCCGTTTGAAAAATCGGAAGGAATTGATGTTTACGTATATAAGAACCAACTAAGACCACAAACAGGATTCAGTGTTTTATTATTTAATCCTTCAAAGGCTAATTGTGATCTTTTGAAGTACCAAGATGAGCCATTCTCCGGAACAGAATTAAACAGAGAACGTCTGGAGGGTGAGATTAAAAGGGTCATTTGCCAAAAACACAACGCTGTATTATTCACTTTGTCACATCAGCTGTACGTTTTTCCCCATGATATATTCTGTGGACCTCCTTAATAAATCTTGAACATCAAAGACTATCTGTGACTTACAAAATGACCCTTTCTAATTCCCTTGACTCAAATCCCAGATTGATGAGGGGCTTCTTCACTACATACTGTTGTGGCTCCTTTTCCAACAAGGCAATTGCATGAAGCATGCATGGACCAAATAAGATTTGCCCTTTTTTAAAAAAAAACAAAAAAAGATGCTCGCCATTATGTCAACAACCGAAAAGATTAAATTAAACACAGTCCATCAAAGGCTGAACCGAACGGTAGTTTAAAAATAAGAAAAAAAAACAAAACCGTATTTAAAACTAGCAGAACTATGCCATGTTCTTAGGAGGGTCATCCTTGTTTCTTCGCTTTACATCCCAGTTATAAACTCTGGCCATATCTGAAGACAGAGATTAAGGAAGGTACGGTTCAAAAGCAGAGACAATTCCCTTGCATTTTCCTGCTTCGCTGACACTAAGGCAGGTTTGTTTATGAATATAAAGGGCTCCTCAATGGTGCTTAGGGAATAGGAAAGCTGATTTTCCAAAGCCAATGCCTTCCAGGTGGATTTCAAACTTCCCTAACTCCACAGCCAACAGAGATAGACCAAGGAATGCTGGTAACAAATTTCAAGGCGGCTTCTTCACTACCCCCTGTAAAGTTCCCCATTTAGGACCTCCCGGATCTCCTCCCTGTTTGGAGAAGCAGCAATGCTCACTTGAATAAAATTGCTCTCAACTGAGAAAATAGAATATTGACAGCCAGATAGTTTATTTGTGTAGTTTTGAAAAATTTGCTGATATTTGTTTATAAGATCAACTGCTTCACTGTCTACTAAATGTAGACATGGGATGAAATTCTTTCCATATCTTGCTTAAGTAGAAGCTTATAATGATACAGGGATGATTATTCCAGGCTCCAATTCATTAGAAGAGAAAATCAATTATTCTTTTAACAAGCAGCCCAGTGAGAAAACAGCAACAATTCAAGAATGAGCATAGAGATAGGCAGAGAGAATAATCAGCCTACTCAGCAATGCAATGTATTTTCTATACCTGCTTCAGAAAAGATTCTATAAAAGACTGTTTGGAATTTCTCCTGAAAGGGCTCCCCCCCACCCCTGCTGCAAATGTTGGAAACCACTGCTTGTAAGAGGAAAGAGCTTAAACTCCAGATTGAATCTGCACATTATCCAAAAAAAAATAAAAATGAAAGTGATATGCAAGACAGAGGAGCTATGTTATCAATGATCGAGATAATACAGATCATTTTTCCCCCCACAGATCCTTCATTGGTTATGCATCCACTGTCTGTAAGTGGATTTGATGGTACCTGGCTCCGAGAGTCCACTTTGGCTGAAATACACAACAGAAATACAAGTCTTGGAACTGCAATTCCTTGACACCTGATACTGTGTGCAAATGCAATGAACAAGCAGAGGTACGCACAAGACCATTCCAACCTAATATTTGAACCTCAAAAAGGATACTGACTTCTGTAGTTGTAAACTGATCTCTAAGGAAATCCAGATCTTCTTCTAGGGACTCGAGGTTTTTTGTAGCTGTGCTAAGATTTTTTTCTAGCAGTGCCTGGGCTTCATCAATATCATATTCCAGCATAACATTGGCCTAAGGGCAGCATTAAAATGAAAACATATTTTTATGATTCCTTAAAGTCAAGGTAGAGTTGAAGCTTAGCTTTTGCCATCTGGAAGATGCTGACCTTATACTTATGCTCTAGGCATAAGTAGAGGCATGTCATTGGGATTAAGGACAGTGACCTCTGAGTTTGCCCATTCCTCTCTATTGGTTTTGCTGAACTTAATACCAGTTATCAGCAAACACCTGTGGAACCAGAAACCTGACTCCTAACAGATTAATGAATCTTGAAAACTGCAAAAATGATGGATGCAGGTAATCTTCGAACTGTGCCATGAAGATGAGAATCACATTACTGAACAGCAACTCATACATTGTTTCAGGGTATAACTTTCTGTTTATTTCCAAACTGCCAAACTATGTTTTACTATGAAGCCATGGAAGAGAATTACACATTATAGTTTGCCATATCGGACATAATAAACAGAAAATAATAAAAAAAGGAAGAGTTTCAAAGTTTAGTCTCAAACATCAAAGCAAAGTTTGGTGTCAGCATCTGAAATAAATTTGCTAAAATAACATCCCAGGGCTCCCTTTGAAAGTGGCGTAGGTTTTCTAATTATTTAAAACAAAACTAGTGCTGCCTTAAAAGACAGAGATTCCTACCATGTAAGCAAATAAGTTACATTTAATTTTTACTAGAAAATTCCCAATATGTTACAACCATATTTAGAACTAAAATACATTCAGCATCGGAAGAGATGCTTCACTTTCTACTAATTACTTACCCCTAACCAAAGACAAACTTTATCTGTAGGAGGAACTGATGCTTTACAGTAGACATTATCTGCCAATAAGAATCTGGTTTCCATCAGATCTGTAGATTCCTTTGGAAAAGGTAAATCAACATAATCAAAGCAATGGTCTGTAGAGTACTTTTAGTTTTATATCATGATGAAAGCTAACCTGTTTGTTATAACTAATGGCGTAGTGATATGCACAAGATAGGATATTTCACTGAATTTGTCCAGGAACAATACTGCTTAGAGCGAATGAATTATTTTATTTTTCAATTGGACACGGATAATGATGCTATATTTCCAAAGGAATTCACTCAGATAAATGTTCAAAAGTGGTTAGGGTTAGCCGTAAAATAGGGCATGACTTGCTTACCTACGAAATTCTGGGCCCAATTGTGGTTGTAAATCAAGGACTGCTTGTACTTACCTTTTTCTTTTGCATGTGTTTTAAGATCTCTAATGTCTGTTTAATTTCAGGAATTTGGCTTTTTAATCTGTAAAATAAAACATTTTAAATATTATTTTTATCGTTCTTTATTTGGGAAAAAACATCCAACATTCTGATTCAGACTAAAAATGTAGAAAGTGAGGGCAAGGAAGATGACCTTGACAGAAATCTACAGGAATCTTGACAGAAATATACAGTAACTGTTACCGAGGCAAAAGAGGCAAAGCATTTTTTAAATCCTGAAAGATGAGATAACATTCAGAACTGGTTCAGGCACACTTTCCTGATTCACTGGAATAAAAAAAAGGGGGGGGATAGAAGTACAGCACAATCCAACTTGCAAAACTGTGGTATTATAGCCAATCTTAAGTAGTTTTGTTTTAAGCCTTCTATAGAATTGATTTCCTGGACAGTCCAACTAGTGAGACAGCGGATATTAAACTTTCTCTTAGGAAGAAAACAGCTGAGTCACAAATAAGTTACTTGCACATACCATTGTGACTATGCACGACAACCCCTCACACAACACATAAAAAGAATTCTCTTCAGATATAAATGTAAGAACTAGGACCTACTGTCAGTTTACTTGCCTCTGAGCTGATACAGCTTTTTTTATTTTTAAAATAACTTTTAGTGTTCCCTATTACTGAATGGGGAATAAGCATCAAAAGCTCTACTTGTGGCAGAATAATTTACTGTATTTTAGTGCATTTTATGCAATTTCTGCCGATAACCTCAAATATGTTTCAGGACACACAACATATAGATGTGTCCTTATGAATATCTGAAAATTAGTAAGCACGAAGTTAGTTATAAATACCATAACCTAGATGGATATGATGATTGGAAGACTTCCTGTAGTGTAGAGGGAATAAGTTATCTATTAAAACATACATATTTCAGTTGCTATAAAGATGTATGTATGCATGCATGCAAATATTACTGGAAAGAAAGAAATGTCTGAAAAGTGTAATGAAATAATTTACACCGTATTATGCTTGGCAGAGAAGAATCCAAATTTTAGAACAGCCCTTGTAAAAGATATTGTAAACATACCCACCTTCTTTTCTTCTGGGCAAGATTAAGCTCCATAAATTTATATTTTTGATACTGTTCATCCAGCTTCTTGAGAACTACATCTGCAGTTTCATTTCCTGGTTGTTTCATGAAGGAATCCACATCTTCCTTAGAGTAATAATACACATATATGGTTAATTCCAAAAACACAACATCAGAACTGATGAGCCAATAATTCAAACCCTTTCACTTTTTGACATCCTGGCAAGGATTGGCAAAAATTGGAAAATTGGACCACCAAATGCTCTTGGGTCTGCTCTTCAAAATCATTTCCACCTACTGGTTCAACTTAGTCTTTCTGGTTAGCTGAGAGGGAAGCAAACCCTGGTGGACAAGAAAAACAAAGCAATGAATTGAACTCCTAGAAAATATAGACCGATTCATGCTCTTTCCTAGGCAATTACACAATATGTTTCTTCCAGAAAGTTTCCTGTCTTCCCAGACTGGTCCAAACCAAAGCATTACATCATAATGGAGTTAACTCTCTCTCTGCTTACCAAATTGGTTGGGAAACCTTGGATTGATTATTATCCCTCTGCTTAGCATATTTCATGAAAGACTTTTTTTAAAAAAAAGAACAGCAGTCAATAGAAAAGATGCTACATTCTAGGAAAGATGGAAAATGAGTTATGTTACAACCAAGAAAGTATTTTCTGTATTAAACCTGCCATTCAGGTTTGTGATACAGGAGCTTAAAACCAGGAACCAATCTGGCTCCTTCAGCATCTGAAGACAAATATTGACAAGAATCCTGCTTTTTTTGGGGGGGGGGGGGATTTGTTTTGTTTTTTTGTGCCTTTAGTAGCTTTCCTCTGGTAGCTTTCTGGATGATTCCTGCAGTCTGTTTTGCCTTGCCTTCTTCCTGGGTTGAGACTGACTGGGACCACAGTTAACTGGCTAGCTTTGTGTCTAAGGTTGTGTCTAAGGTTGTATAGCTTTGTGTCTAAGGTTGTGTCTAAGGTTGTATAGCTTTGTGTCTGGGGCCTAGCCTTGTACCGAAGCCACAATCCCTAAATGGCTCTTTATTGAAAGTGGTTTGTGCTTGCTTGTCACACTGCTTTCTTCATAAGGCTATGAGAGAGGGAGTGTCCCCAGATCTTCCAATTATCTTCATTTCATAGGCAGGACTGGAACTCAAGACTGGATTCCTAGTCTGGTGCCTTCAATCCCAAGTCTGGTGCCTTCAATCCCAATGCCAAAATGCTCTGTCTTTGCCTTTAAGTCAAGTCTTGACTCTGAGCAATTGCCTAGACAAGTCCCTGCGGGGGCTCTTTTCAGAACAAAAGTTTTTTGGAACTGCTTGGCCAATGCTGACTCCTTGGAGACGAGGGAGAATGAGCGGCCCAGAATCACCCAGCAGGCAAGGCTAGAACTCACCATCTCCTGGTGATTGGCCCAAAGCCACCCAGCTGGCTTTCATGCCTAAGACAGGACTAGAACTGAGTTTCCCGATTGGGCCAAGAGGTACCAGCTATAGCTTTTGTGCCTAAGGCAGGACTAGAACTCACCGTCTCCTGGTGATTGGCCCAAAGCCACCCAGCTGGCTTTCATGCCTAAGACAGGACTAGAACTCCGTTTCCCGATTGGGCCAAGAGGTACCAGCTATAGCTTTTGTGCTTAAGGCAGGACTAGAACTCACTGTCTCCTGGTGATTGGCCCAAGGACACTCAGCTGGCTTTCACGCCTAAGGCAAGACTAGAACTCATAGGCTCCCGGTTTCCAGCCTGCTTTCTCTGACTCCTGAGCCAAGCTAGCTCTTGACCCGCTCATCTTCCCACTCATCTTCCACAATCTCCTTTTAAAACCACTTTCAGTCCCACCCTTACACTGCAGGGCACCAAAGCCACGCAGGAAAACTAAGCTCCCCACAGCCTAGAACAGGGGTGTCCAACCTTGGCCACTTTAAGCCTGGAGGACTTCAACTCCCAGAATTCCCCAGCCAGCAAAGCTGGGGAATTCTGGGAGTTGAAGTCCTCCAGGCTTAAAGTGGCCAA